GAATATAATCCTCAATTTGGCTCAAATGAAATGCTTCCCTATTCCCATTATAGATTGTTTATTGATTATTTCTTTGGCTGCTTGAATTTTTGATCACCAAGAACCCTGAGAAGTAGGGGCTGTGCAACTAGGGGCCCCACTCAGACCCTGCTCACTCCCAGTCCTCTTACACTTCTCAACTCCCCACAGTCTGCACATGACCTGAGACCCTCCAGTGTGGGCAGACCCCAAGCCCAGCTGGACCCCAACCAGGAGGAAGGGAATTTAACATCTGATGTTAATTCAAGAAGCACAAGCATTGAATCAGCATCACACTTGCGTCCAGCCTCGCACAAAGGGGTGGAAGAGGGTAAATGGGAAGGTGTCCTCCTTGTCTTCTTCAAGGAGTTCTGTTTGCTGAGCACACAGGCAAGTAGGGAAACGGGATGTAAGAGGTAAGTAGCTCCAGTCTTCAGGAAGGAAAACCAGGGAGCAGGAAGGGGAGAGGTGAAGGGAGTGGGATGGGGTACTGGTGAAGGGTTGACTAGATTCTGAGATCTACCAAGTAAACCCTAAGATAAGACCCTGGACACAGACCATCAAAACAGGGCTTAAATGTAGTAATTTACTCGTACATTAACTTCTTCGTTTTAATTGAAGTATAGTTGACTCATAATACCGTAAATTTTTTTTTTTTTTTTTCAAAAATCCAGCTACACAGCGTGGTTTAAGGTGTTGTCGAGGGTTTAGACAGTGTCCATCTGTCACAGCAATTAGCCTCTAGGGGGCATAATGCCTCCAAGGAGAAATTGCAACTCTGCTGGCCAGTTGTAAAATACTGCAATCCAATTGCTCAGTCATATCTGACTCTTTACCACCCCATGAACTCAACATCTCTGAGACATGCCTGTATTGGCTCTTCACGTTGGGTCATAACTTTTATTTGTTAATTTATATTTACATTTATTTATTTTTACTTGGAAGATAATTGCTTTACAATATTATGCTGGTTTCGGCCATACATCACCATGAATCAGCCATAGGTACACATATGTTCCCTCCCTCTTGGGCCTCCCCTCCCACCTCCCACCCCATCCACCCCTCTAGGTTGTCACAGAGCACTGGGTTTGAGCTCCCTGTGTTATAGACCAACTTCCCATTAGCTATCTATTTTACACATGGTAATGGAAATGTTTCAATGTTCTTCTCTCAATGCATCCCACCCTCTCCTTCCCCCACTGTGTCCACAAGTCTGTTCTCTACATCTGCGTCTATTTTGCTGCCCTACAAATAAGTTCATCAGTACCACCATCTTTCTAGACTCCATACATATGTGTTAATGTATAATATTTATTCTCTTTCTGACTTACTTCACTCTGTATTAAAGGTTCATAATTCAAGAAGCACAAGCATTGAATCAGCATCACACTTGCGTCCAGCCTCGCACAAAGGGGTGGAAGAGGGTAAATGGGAAGGTGTCCTCCTTGTCTTCTTCTTCAAGGAGTTCTGTTTGCTTAGCATACAGGCAAGGAGGGAAATGGGATATAAGAGATAAGGAGCTCCAGTCTTCAGGAAGGAAAACCAGGGAGCGGGAAGGGGAGTGGTGAAGGGAGGGGGGTGGGGTACTCGTGAAGGGTTGACTAGATTCTGAAATCTATCAAGTAACCCCTAAGATAAGACCCTGGACACAGACCATCAAAACAGAACTTAAATGTAGTAGTTGACTCTTACATTAACTTCTTTGTTTTAATTGAAGTATAGTTGACTCATAATACTGTAAATAATTTTTTTTCAAAAATCCAACTACACAGGGTGGAGTAAAGTGGCTTAAGGGTTGGTTTAACCAACCTTGATTTAAGGTTGGTTTAAGTGGTTAAACTGTTGTCGAGCGTTTAGACAGTGTCCATCTGTCAGAGCAATTAGCCTCTAGAGGGCATAATGCCTCCAAGGAGAAATTGCAATTCTGCTCACCAGTTGTGAAATACTGCAATTCAGTTGCTCAGTCGTGTCTGACTCTTTACAACCCCATGGACTGCAGCATGCTAGGCTTCCTTGTCCATCACCAATCCCCGGAACTTTCTCAAACTCATGTCCATCAAGTCGGTGATGCCATCCAACCATCTCATCTTCTGTCGTCCCCTTCTCCTCATGCCTTCCATCTTTCCCAGTATCAGGGTCTTTTTCAGTGAGTCAGTTCTTTGCATCAGGTGGCCACTGTATTGGAGCTTTAGCATCAGTCCTTCCAGTGAATATTCAGGATTGATTTCCTTTAGGATTGACTGGTATGATCTCTTTGCAGTTCAAGGGACTATCAAGGGTCTTCTCCAACACAACAATTCAAAATTGTGAAAACAGTGAAATATTTAGGTCATTTCATATCTAAGGAAGATTGTTGATTGATTCTGAAACAATTAAGGGAACCCTGGCTTTCTCAGTTCCCCAAAATTCAGGGGATTTCTATGCCAAACCAGACACTGGGAGAATTAGGTGCCTAGATGTTCCTGCATTGCCCACGCTCTCTATGCATTGCTAAACTCTACCCAACCAGACCCAACTGAATGAATGTCAGAAGGAGAAAAGGCTACCAATGCTTTAACATCTGCATTCACCCAGGTTCCAGCATTAGGCCATCCTACCTATAAATTTCCATGTTTCATCATTGTGCATGAAGATAGAGGAGTCGCCCTGGGCATATAAACTCAAAGGCTTGTTGACTTGCATTGAGCCATTCCCTACTCTAGTCAGCAGTTAGTTTTGTAACCGATCGCTGGTTTGGCCACTTGCTTCTTGACCAACAATAACTCAAGGGGCAAGATTCTGTAGAGAAGAGAGATGCTTTATTCAGAAAAGCCAGCAACCTGGGGAGAAGGTGGACTTGTGTCCATGCCAGTTTTCCTCAGCCATGAGAATCTTTAAAGGGAATAAAAGCTCAATGAATCATTAAGGCTGGAGGTCAGATTCCCTGCCATTTCCCCATTACTGCAAGCCTGCTGATTTCCCTCTGTCTTCCCTGGGACGTTGTCTTGCTTGTGCGATCCACCTGCCACTGGAGGTTCTCTTGCCCTTGTGGTCCACTTGCAAATTTACCAAGAGGATGCAAGGGGTAGTCATTCTTAAACTACTTAATTCTTTTTCTTTTTCTTTTTTGGCCACAACCTGCAGCACTCGACTTCTTTGTTCCATGACCCAGGACTGAAGCCATGCCCCCTGCATTGGGAACATGGGGTCTTCACCACCAGAGCCAGGTAAGTCCCTTTAACTACTTAATTCTTCATTCTTATTCCTTCTAGTCCAGAAGAGGAATCAACAGTTTAGTTAAGGTGTTGCATATATTTGCATGCATATCTCACTCATGTCTGACTCTCCCTGACCTTGTGGACCGTAGCCCATCAGGTTCCTCTGTCTGTGGGATTTTTTAGGTAAGAATACTGGAGTGGGTTGTCATTTCCTTCTCCAGAGGATCTTCCCAACTCAGGGATCAAACCCATGTCTTCCGTATCTCCTGCATGGGCAAGTGGATTCTTTACCACTGAGCCCCCTGGGAAGCCCCTGTGTATATTTAGGAAAGCAGAAATCAGGAGCTAAGTTAAATGTTTCCTAATGATCTCATCTTTATGATTAAGGTCTAAGAAGGTGAACATAAAAGGGCCGAGGAGCTTAAAGTATGTATATTAGTTTTTGTTGGGGGAGGGGACAGAAATCTATTGCACACCAAATAGACTACAGCATCGTGTAAGCATAACTTTTATGTGCACTGGGAAACAAACAGGCAAAAAACTGTCTGACTCTCTTTTATGTCAACTTTGTAGAACCAAGCCAGCAATATCTCCAAGGTATGCTTGTATTAACTCTCCACTGTGGGTTATATCATTTGATTGTTACAGAAGTGTACCGTTTTCCTTTCCTGGAGAATTACCCACATTCTGATCTGGCTGACTTTTAGTTTTGGCTGCTTCATTTGGCATGTGGGTTACCCGACCAGGGATGGAACCTGTCTCCTCACCACCCCCTCCCCCTCCCATCCCTACCCACAGTCTCCGGAGAAGTCTCTGGCTGATGAAGTTTTCAGTTGAAATGTGAATCTATCCCTATGTCTGCTATGAGCTTGTAGTTGATCTAAAGACGTGATTAATTCTGATCCAGATTTTCTTCAGGACTACTTTACGGGCAGTGTTGTGGATTGCCTCTTACAGCACATTGGGTATCACGTGAGATCTGGTTGTCCCACGTCAATAAGGAAGAATGATAATCAGGTGGTGTCAACCTGTTCTATCAAAGTTTTACCCAAAAGGTGCAGTCTCCATTAACTGCATCCTAAGCCTGTAATTTCATTAGCTCTTGCAAGGTAGTGATTTTCCAAATTCTATTCATCCTCCTCCATTTATTCTTAGATTCATCTAATAACTTGTATTTGGTTTCTTGACATCCATTCTTCCTTCACTCTACTTCAGTTGTTTATTCCCACAAACAATCCTCTATTTCATTCTTACCAGCTTCTTGAATGTTCATAATCTCGATTTTGAGCATTCTGTTCTGTAGCAACATCTTTTTGTCTTGTCTCTCCAAGATAACTTCTTACCTTTTAGTTACACATTGGTTGCACTCTTTTTTTCCATTACACTAAAAGTTACTAACTTTTTCTTACACTGAAAATTATCTTTTAGTTATACTTTTAACTTCTTACCTTTTAGTTACACCCATCAGTAACCATTTATCAGCCAGCAATTACCTATGACCCCATTTCCCCACCTCTGGCAATGTAGGAGTTTTGGTTTGGTTGGTTTTTTTAATTCAGACCTTTTCTTCATCAGCTCAACTGAGTTACTCTAAGAGTCTGAGATAGAAAGTTAATGAAAAACAATCATTTACACAATGTAACACTGTCTCAGTAAAGCTGGGAGAAAAGAGAAATATAATCATTTCTCTTTTCATGGTGAAATAATTCACTTTATTTGTATTATTTCTCTTTTTCTCAAAGTCTACTTGGATAGTAATACAGCTACCCTGACTGTCTTGTGTGATTGCACATTTACTTCCAGTCTGTTTGTGTTGTAATGTTTAAAGTGTAAGTCTTGACAAAATACGTAGTTACCTGTGTTTCCTTCCTAAATGGCAGTCTCTGTGTTCTTGCTGGGAAGAGTCACAAGAAGTTGTTTCTCACATGTCTGGTTCATATTTTATTTCTTCCTCTGATTACTGGCTACACTGTGGTAATTTTGTTGTGAAAAATTCCTTTTGCTACACACTTAGAAAGCATGTACTTTTAAGTATGTCTATTATGCTTTTAAAAGTTTGCTTTAAATATATACAACATCCAATGGCAATAAATACAGAACTATAAATGCATCGCATGTTCACATTTCACAGAGGCTCAAAGTGCCCCTTAAACCAGAAGATACCTCCAGGGAATGGAGGGATTCCACATAGCATCAATTTCCTTGGGTTAGGCAGATTCAGCACTGGGGATGTTTTAATCCAGAGTCTGGGAGGTGGAGGCTGGTGGCTGTTGATGACTGTTCCCTGCCAGGCTGTGTCGGATCCCATATCCTAAATATATGACAGATCCTAGCAGGAAAATGAGACAGTGAGAAGGGAAAATAGGTGCTCTCCTCACCTACAAATGCCCAGTAGGCTTCCTGTTATGGCATCTAACAGTTTTGGGGAGGGCTTCTAGGAAGAGGATTGGATTCAGTCACTCAAGAGGACTCCTCACCCAAAAAAGCCTCTTACCAATTGCCATCCAGATGCCAAATAAGATCCAGGTCTCAGAGGTTATCTGCATCATCAAGTAAATGTTCACAAAGATGCTCAGCGGTAGGAGGACAGGCAGAGCAGGGACCTGTGGGCAGAGTCAGTTCACCCCTGTTCAGACACCGCAGACGTCTGAAAGGGAGATCCTGCCCCACGGTTGTGGGAAGGATCCAGTCTTACTCAGGCTGTGTGTTCAGTTCCTGCTCAGATTGGGTCTGTAAAGCAGTGAGTGTGGATCCGGGAAGGGTTCATTGGTTTTAGCAACTCTCTTTACTCCCTAGTCCAACAAAGATGTTTAAACCTCAAGCATGCAGGCTTCATTCACTCAAGGTGGACACTCTGGGCACATAAGGTCACCTACCCTGAACAGAAGAGGAGAGGGGCTCTGGGGCTGCCTCCAGATGATGACCATGACCCCAGTGATGAGCAGCAGCAGCAGCACAGCCACTGTTGAGAGCCCAGGGTCTTCAGAGAACACCTGGCTGGGCCACTGGGCCAGGATCAGGCTCAGGATTGACAGGAGGAGAACTGCAAGGGTCAAGGTGGAGAAGAACAGGCTGGACCCAGAAGACGAAGATGTCAGGACCTGGGGTCACACCCCTCCCCAGGCTGCCCACCTCAGGAAGGGCCATCATATCTCCAAGACCCCTTCTCAACTTCCAAAGACACAATCCCAACCTATCTTGTCAATTTCAAAATATGACCAAAGGGAAATCCCACTGCTCACCAAGCAGAGAGGCACATCCATAGACAATCTGACCAGATATCTGGGTGGGGGTAGTGCTGGTAGGGAACCACAGACTCTTTAGAATCCTTAAAGGTCCTGCTTCAGGTACAGGTTCTGAAGGACTTGCTTCAAGATCAGAAGTCTCATTTTCCTTCTCTGTTTTCCCCTTCTTGCTTAAATTCTGGTCTGGCTGGTACCTGAAGGAGGGATATCAGGGCAGTATTCACAGCAGTTCCTACCCATTCAACACAGACAGTATAATCTATCTCTTTCTTGCCTTGAGCCTAGTGAGACATATAGAAGGCAGCAAGAAGGCAGAAGAGGATCACCTCCCCATCACCCCCAAGAGTCCAAGGCTCTCAGCCAAGGTTAGTGGGTCTCACCTGAGGACAAGCACAGAAACTGCTACAAGGGTGTAAGCAGGCAGGATCCCGGCTGACATGAGTTTCACCAGATCGAGGATCCTGAGGAGTGATGCCGTGAACCCTAGAATGAAGGTCGGGGGAGGGAATGAGAAGTCCCTGGAAATATTCATGTTAAAGAAATTGGTCATAGGAAAGAATGATCCATTGATAGATGAATGGATAAAGAAGCTGTGGGATATACATATACAATGGAATACTCAGTTTAGGTCAGTTGCTCAGTTGTGTCCGACTCTTTGTGACCCCATGCATTGCAGCATGCCAGGACTCCCTGTCCATCACCAACTCCCGGAGTTTACTCAAACTCATGTCCATCGAGTTGATGATGCCATCCAGCCATCTCATCTTCTGTTGTCCCCTTCTCTTCCTGCCCACAATCCCTCCCAGCATCAGGGTCTTTTCCAATGAGTCAACTCTTTGCATGAGGTGGCCAAAATATTGGCGTTTCAGCTTCAACATCAGTCCTTCGAATGAACACCCAGGACTGATCTCCTTTAGGATGGACTGATTGGATCCCCTTGCAGTTCAAGGGACTCTCAAGAGTCTTCTCTAACACCACAGTTCAAAAGCATCAGTTCTTCGGCACTCAGGTTTCTTCACCATCCAACTCTCACATCCATCCATGACCACTGGAAAAATTATAGCCTTGACTAGACAGACTTTGTTGGCAAAGTAATGTCTCTGCTTTTTAATACTACTCAGTCATAAAAAAAGGAACTCATTTGAGTCAGTTCTAAAGAGGAAAATGAACCTAGAGCCTGTTATTCAGAGAGAAGTAAGTGAGAAAGAGAAGAACAAACATCATATATTAATGCATATATATATGGAATCTAGAAAGATGGTACTGATGAAGCTATTTGCAGGGCAGCCATGGAGGTGCAGACATAGAAAACAGACTGACGGACAAGGGCAAGAGAGAAGGAGAGGGTGAAATGAGTGGAGAGTAGCATGGACGCATATACAGTAATGCATGCAAAATAGACAGCCAATGGAAACTTTCTGTATGACTCAGGGAACTCAAACTGGGGCTCTGTAATAACCTCGAGGGGTGAGAGGTGGGAGGCAGACTCAAGAGGGAAGGTTCATAGGTATACCTGTGCCTGGTTTATGTTGATGTATGACAGATATCAAACCAATTTTGTAAAGCAATAATAAATCATTTAAAATAAATACATAGAATTATTTAAAAAAAAAAAAAAAAGGAAAGGAAAGGCTTCCTTTATTCACCTGTAAGAGTTCCAGAAGCCAAGATGGCCATGATAGGGGTGCCAGTACGGGTGTGGATCTGGGCAAGAACTCGGAAAAGGAGCCCGTCAGCTGTCATTGCGCAGGTCAACTGAAACATGGAGACCATGGCGCATAGGAAGCTGAAAGAGAAAAGGGAAAGATGTGTGAGGATGTGTAGAAGCAGGAGAGACCAGGGTACCCTCGGTTCCTAGTCTACACGGTTCCTGTCTACATGGTGTCCTTCCTCTTGTCTCTCAACCACAAGGGCTGGGGTACTTGAGCATCTGATGGTAGACGGGGAGAAAACCAGGACACTGACCTGTATAAAAGGGTACACAGTAAGACAATAGTCATGACATATGCAGCCGGGTCCCATCCGACCTGGAGGAAAGCCTGTGGTAAGGGGCTGAAAGGGTAAATCTGGTAGTAGGGCACCATGAGGGTGAGCGCCGCTGAAACTCCAGAGTACGCCAGAAAGCCGATGAAGATGGAGATCACCATGCTCAAGGGGATGGAACGCTGAGGATTTGCGGCTTCCTTCCCTGCAGGAGAGGAGGAAGTACTGGGTCAGGAAAGATGCTTGAATGAAAGCAGAAAATCCCCTTTCCTCTTGCAAGTCCAAAAGCAGGCTTTTGTTGTTTAGTTACTCAGTCATGTATGACTCTTTGCAACCCCATGGACTACAGCACACCAGGATTCCCTGTCCTTCACCATCTCCCTGAGTTTCCTCGAACTCATGTCCACTGAGTCTGTGATGTTATCCAAACATCTCATCATCTGTTGTCCCCTTCTCCTACGCCCTCAATTTTTCCCAGCCTCAGGGTCTAACCTTCTACCAACCCCTGTGCCCAAGAGCAGCCCAACCAGTGGCCACACCCCTGATGGGACACACAATGATCATGTTACCTGCAATGACCATGCCATGAACACCAAAATATGAGATGAAAAGTATAGCTGCTCCTTGGAGAATCCCTTCAAAGCCAAACGGCACAAACCCTCCAGAACCCAGAGGGCCCAAGCTATGGTGAGAGGAGAGATGAAAAACATGGATGAGGTGAGTTCAGCCACTTCTACTGGGCTCCTCCCTTCATACCTCAAGTCATGGGCTCCAGGACCCCAATCACCTGGATCCACCAGCCCAGAGGTCTTCAGTCCCCACCATGTTCCCAGCTCTGTGCCACCACCACTCATGTATTACCAAGAGGACCCTCCTGACCTAAAAGTGCTGCTGGATCTGGATGTATTTGATCTGTAGTCCTGTTCTGTGAGCTGCCAGTTGTGCAGGTCTCCCTTAATGAAGCCAGAGAGGATCATGAAGATGGGAACAGAAAGGTTCAAGCCTGTGGACACTTTGAAAATCAGGGTTGTCACACGAGCTCCCAGAACCAATAGTCCTGTGGGAAAGATGGAATATGAGACACGGAAAGCAGACCAGTGGTTGCCAGGGCTAGAGAGTAGTGGGGGTGGGGTGGATGGGTGGATAGTGACTGTTCAGTGGGCACAGGGTTTCCTTTTGGGGAGATGAACATGTTTGGAACTAGACGGAGATGATGGTTGCCACACTGTGAAGGTACTAAGTCCCACTGAACTCTACAGTTTAAGGGCCTTCCCTGGTGACTCAGCAGTAAAGAATCTGTGTGCAATACAGAAGAAGATGCAGGTTCAATCCCTGGATCGGGAAAAATCTCTGGATCACACTCCAGTATTCTTGCCTGGAGAACCCCATGGACAGAGGAACCTGATGGGCTGCAGTCCATGGGGTCGCAAGGAGTTGCACGTAACTGAAATGACTGAGCACCCAGGCAGATACAAGCACTTTAAGACGGCTAATTTCTTACTGTGCCAGTCAGCTCACAGCACACGGCTGTCAAATCACCACTTTGTACACCTTAAACATATACAATGTTGTAAGTCAATTATATCTCAATAAAACTGGGAAAGGCAATAAATCAGTTTTATGCTATGAGAATAGCCTCTCAATTTAAAAAAATCTGGTCTCAACAGAGAGGAAGAAATTTGTCACTCTAAGTAAATGATTCTGAGCTGGGGTGGTTTTGTCACTCAAGGGACGTTTGACAATGTCTGGAGACATTCTGATGATCACAATTTAGCACCAGTATATAGTAAGTAAGACTGGGGATGCAACTCCATTCGACTATGATTTATAAATAAACAAAAACAAAACCCTACAGTGTGAAGTTCAGAACAGCCCTCAACACCAAAAGATGAAGCATCACAAACTGTCAAGGGTGCCAGGGTGGGAAAGCAATGGTCTATGTGCCTTGCCGCCCTTAATCATAACCCCAATCCTTCTTTACAGTCCTAATTCTACCTTCTGCCACCCCACAGCTTTCCCACACCAGTTCCCCCTCCAAACCCCACTCTTCCCATCCTATGTCTCACCCCTTCTCACCAGTCATCAGCAGCACCAGGCCCAGGGCAATGAAGTCTGGGTACGGAGCCAGGAAAGAGGGCATGTGTGGAGAGAAAGTTCTATCCCTCTCCCCATCATCTCACCAGCCACTAAATACAGTAAGCGGTTCCAGCCAATGACGAAGGCGCAGAGTTCTCCCATGGTGACGTAGCTGTAGAGATACACAGAACCAGAGCGTGGTACCCAAGCCCAAAGTTCGGCATAGCAGAGTCCAGACAACACAGAAGACAGGGCAACCACCAAAAAGGAGATGATGATCGCTGGTCCAGCTATGAGCAGGGTCATGACACCAATCAGAACGTACACGCCGGCCTCCAGAGTCCTGCCCACACCCAAGATCACCAGGTCGAGGGTGCTCGGAGGAGCTCTGTGACTCTCAGACTCCTCCCGGGGCCCCAGTGACCGCCTGCGGACCAGCCCGTGATGAAACTGGCGAACATACTGACGCAGCATCCTAGATGGGAGTTGAGGACGTTAACGGTCTGCTGAGAAAACAAGACACAATGTCATCAAGAATATCTATCAACCCTTGGCCCTGGGAGTCCAATTCCACGGAGCAATGGAGTGATGAGGGACAGGTAGTACAAGGACACATGGGCCAAGTTCTCCACCTCTGAGCTTTGGTTTTCAAACATAAATCAAGCATTTAATATGTTTCAAAGTAATTGGAAGCGTTGCTTGAATAGAACTGAGGGAGAGTGGTTTGTTTTTTTTTTTATCTCCCCTAAATGTGCTCTTTTGGCGAGTGGACTGTTTTGAGCTAAAGATGATTAAGACCCAGCAGACTCAGGAGAAGCTCCTTGCCTCTCCCTTAAATGCTCAAAATAATGTAGATTATACTGCCTATGCCAGGAAGAGAGCTATCACCAGAGAGAACTTCTAATTTCAGGAAAACGTACCTGCCTGGAGGAGCAAACATTTGTTCATCAGGCACTTGCTCTTCCCATCCTCCTATGGGTTGTCTTTGTCCTCCTTGAAGCCCCAGATCCCTACCCCCTTCTCCTTAGGCCAGGGGAGCGTATAAGCCTTAAATGCCTGAGTGCTTTTGAGCCTCAGAGTTTTTTAAGGGGCTCCTGTAAATGTATTAATCTGTCTTATTTCAGTTCAGTTATTTAGACCAGCCAAGAAACCTAGAAAGAAAACTTTTCCACCCCTACAGAAGCAAAAGCCTCAAACCCAGTGCCAGGCACACAGTAGATGCCTAATTGGTATGAGTTCAATGACAGAGCAGGCGCCTCCGGTGGCTCAGAGGGTCAAGAATCTGCCTGCAATGCAGGAGACCCGGGTTCAAACCCTGGGTTGGGAAGATCCCCTGGAGGAGGGAATGGGAACTCACTCCAGTATTCTTACCTGGAGAACCCCATTGACAGAGGAACCTGGAGAGGTCCTGTCCATGGGGTCGCAAAGAGTTGGACACGACTGAGTGATTAACACACACACACACGCACACACAGAGGATTGAACAGGGGAGACTGGAGGGCTACAGTCCGTGGGGTTGCAGAGTCGGACGTGACTGAAGTGACTCAGCATGCACAACGCACACTTCCACAAGTGGATAAGAATGCTTGTTTCTGAATTGAATCAACCGGATCAGCTGGTTCAAACCCAGCTCTGCTCTGTATTAGCTTGTCTGACTTTGCACAAGCTTTGCACCACTCATTATCCTCTTTTCTTCTACAGAACTGGGGAAAATTTATTATTGTTGTTGTTATCATTTTTCCCTCCCTTCCTTTATAAGTGTGCCATGACTCTCTGAATAATCAGAGAGCTCAGACTCCATGCATTGCATTGTCAAGGATGCTGAAACCTGGTAGCTTTATACTTCACTGCCTGCAGTGTGAAAAGAAATTAGAACTCTGAGTCCGGGCAGAAGGAGACAGAATTTGTAGGAGGTGTAGCCCAGCTCAGTGAAAGCATCAAACCAGACTGGCCTCCTGTCTTGCTGAACCTGCTCCCAGCACCGGTTGTCTCACTGTATCCCACTGTGCACACTCTTTGATGAACCCAGGGTAGGCAAGGCAGGAGCAGGAAAGTGGGAAGAAGACTCAAGGAGCCGTAGGAACTGCAGATGTGTTTATTCTCTCCTGGCTGATGCAGCAGCCAAAACATCATGTAACGTAGCCCTAATGCAGACATAACACTGCCATAACAGAACACAACCTCCAGGGCTTCCCAGGGGGAGCTTACATATATACTTACAGAACAAAAGCCACTGGTGGCCAATCGAGTACCTTGTGACAGGCCTGTGCAGTGCTATAAGTAATCTCTGCTGTTACATAATCACTATTTGCAAAACATGGGGCAAGAGCAAGAGGGCTTGGGGTGAGAGAGACTGACCATGCCATCTTGGCTAATTTGCTCTTTCCCTACAACTCCCAAGTGCCTAGAGAGAAGGGGGTGCTAACCTTCATTCTGAATCAGAAATGACAGGACTCTGTTTTGCTGCTTCTTTGGGGCCTGAAATGTCTCCTCACTACACAGCTCTGCAGGACTAGGCTGACACAGTGACCACCAGTTATTGTGAGGGGGTCTCTGCTTAATGATATTCAAAAGTCCAATGTCACATTTTGGTTGAGAGCAAGTACTCAAAAATCTGGGAAACTATGATTAGAATCTTGCCTTCTCCACTACCTCTGAACAAGTTGTTTACTTCTCTGGACCTCTGTTTTCTTCTTTGTCAAATGCTACTAATGAACCCCTGGGAACTGTTAGTAGGAATGTAAAATGGTGCAGTTGCTATGGGTAAAGTATGATAGTTCCTCAAGACACTAATGATGGATTTACCATGTGATCCAGTAATTCCACATCTGGGTGTACATCCCCAAAAACTGAAAATAGAGTCTCAAAGAGATATTTGCACTCTCATGTTTATAGCAGCATTATTCACAGTAGATAAAAGTTGGAAGCAACCCAAATGTTCATCCATGAAGGAATGGATAAACACAATTGTGGTCTGTGCATACAGTGGAATATTATTCAGCCTTTAAAAGGCAGAAACCTCTGACCCATGCAACAACATGGAGGAGCCTTGAGGACATTATGCTAAGTGACATAAGCCATTCACCAATATACAAATAATGTGTGGTTTCATTTCTGTGAAATCAAAGGAGGAGTCAAAGCCATGGAGACAAATGCAGGATAGTGATTGGCCAGGGCCTGGGGTTGGAGAAGGCAATGGCAACCCACTCCAGTACTCTTGCCTGGAAAATCCCATGGACGGAGGAGCCTGGTGGGCTGCTGTCTATGGGGTCGCATAGAGTCGGACACGACTGAAGGGACTTAGCAGCAGCAGCAGCAGCAGCAGGGCCTGGGGTGAAGGAAGTTATTGTTAAATGAGGGCACAGTTTTAAAATGTTTTAGACTCTCCAGAAAGCAGGAATAGAAGGAACATACCTCAACATAATAAAAGCTATATATGACAAACCCACAGCAAGCATCACCCTCAATGGTGAAAAATTGAAAGCATTTCCCCTGAAATCAGGAACA